TAGGTGCTAAGATTGTTTTAATGTGAATTATCATTTAATTCTCACAACTCTATGAGAAGATGATGCACTGGGTAAGGCAACTAAGGCACAAATGTTACAAAACTTGCGGAAAGCCTCAAAAATAGTGGCAGGACCATATTTAAAAACCAGGCAGGCTGACAGCAGAGACATGCTCTTATCAATTTACCCTATGCTGCTCCAGTCTGGTTTACGACCCCAGCAGAGCACTAAAAAGGCTTTTGAAAAGACCTGCAATGGCATTCATACTGTCAAATTGAAGGGATACTGTACTCATCTTATTCAATTTTGTAGTAGCAATCACCAGAATGACCGTCTCTGTCTTCATCCACTGTGCTCTCTTGGCTTCTAAGACAGCACACTCTAGATATCCTCCTGCCTCATTAGCATAGGAGATTGGCTGCTTTTCCTTCCTCTACGTGACTTCTAAACGTTGGGGACTGCCAAGGCTCAAAGTAAAGCTTTCTTGTTTTCTCTGAATATACTTTCCCTCAGTGATCTCATCCTATCACCCATCTTTAATACTGTCTAAATGCTTATGATTCCAAAGTTACTGAGTTGTCCCCTCTGGTTTCCACTTAGTGTCAAACAAGCTTTTCAAATGTAATGTACGCAAAACCAAGACTTGATTTTATTCCCTCCCAAACTGCTTCTCCACAGCCCCTAACATCTTAATTAGCCAGTTGTAGAAGTTTGAAAAGATGGCATTATACTTGATGTCTTCCTTTCTGTTATCATGCACCTCAGTAAGTCCCATCAGCCCACCTCCAAATAAATCTCGGAACTATCCATTTCCACCCAACCCCAAGGCAACACCTCTGTCCTAACCTCTAACACCTTGCTTCAGTAATTATTCAGCCTTTAAAATGGTCACCCTGCCTCTACTCTTGCTCCCATTTCAATCCACACTTCACAAAGCATGAAACGACCTTGTCAAAATGTCAATCATTTCACCACCATACTCAAGTCTCCTTTGGCAGATTCTCACTGCATGTTAAAAATAAAACCCAAGCCTTGGACCCTTACATCATATGTTCCATGCTGGTAACTTCAACACCACATCCCACAACATTTTTCCTTTTCCTATTATTTTTTTCATCACATTTATCACAAAACGGAAAATTTAACTCTTCCCCCCACCAAACAATAGCAGTAGTAAGATCTCAAGAGGCCAGTAGCATGTTGTTTTGATGTTCATTATATATATAATGCCTGGCATGTAACAGGCAAATGTTGGTCAAAAAAAAGTTTGCAAGAGGCTTCTCTCCCATCTATTACACTAAAATATCGTAAGAAGCCATAACTTGCTTTACAGTCCTAGCTCCACAGCTGAGTAGATATAAACCAGAGCTTGTCGCTTACCTCTCATGTTTTCTAAATGTAAAATGGAGAAATACTATGTATACCGTCTTCTACAAAGAGAGCTGTTCTGAAGATAAAATGGTTTAGATCATCAGTTCTCCAAGTGTGGTCCCTGGCACAGCAGCATAAGCATCAGCATCACCTGGGAACTTGTTAGATATACAATTTCTCAACCCCCACCCCACATTTACTGTATCAGGACCTCTGGAGGTGGGGCTCGGTAACAATCCCTCTAGGTGACTCTACATACACTGAAGTTTAAGAACCAGTGATTTAGACGAAAACACTCTGAAAAATAAAAGAGCTAAATAAATGCTAGGTTATGTTATTGCTTTGTATGACAAAGCCACCTTTGTTATTCATCGGTAAATAGTAAAATTACAAAACCAGGTTTTTCGTAAAATAGATTATGTTGGTTCCTAGTATCTTAAACACAGAACACCTTAAACGTGAAATACATGTGCAAGGAAAGCAAAGATAGTACTGTTTACATATCAAACACAACTAACAAATACCTGAACAGTAGATGCAAAGTTATGACTGAAGATTAGGACATTTTAGAGATTTTCTTAGGGTTGGTATAAGAATAAAGGATGTTTTGTGGTCCCTGACATGGTTTGGGTATTATAGAAGGTAGCAGTTAATATGTACACAGGCAATGTGGGATTAACCAAGATTTATCCTACAAATCTTGACTAATGACAATTCAGGTGTCCAGCAGTCAAGTCACTTATATCTACACTCTATCAATTAGAATGGAGTAAGATAGATGTACTAAGTTCAGATCATCTGCCTCCCGACATGATGAGCAAAACGACTGCATTTCAGATTCAACTTTCTTCTAATGGGCCAACACAACCAGTCTTGCTGGGTAGGGGAGGGCGTCCTAGGCCATGGCCAACAGACACATTAAGGTATTCCCCTGGTTTTGTCTTAGGGACAGCATTGATTTACTCTGTTGACTCCAAAGCTGCACAAACACAGGAGCAGAGTTAGGAGAAGAGCTACATTAAGCATGAGAGATTAAGGAGAAAAAAGTAGTTTAGGAAAACATGTCTTATGACTAAGATCTTTATATAGAATGTTTTTCCTATTATGGGCAACAAATAGAGGCAATTTTAAAATGGTGTACAAAAACCTGGTGCAATTCCTTAGTAGATTTAGTATATAATATCCTTTTAAAAAGAGAGTGGAGACTTCATATTAAAAAGGACTAAGATTCATGTAGATATTTAAGTATATAAGTCATGGTTATTCCTCTAAAAAGGCTAACATAAAGATACACAGTGATGTAGCCTTTAACTAATGAGTTTAAGAGCTTTTTTAAAAGCAGGTTTTGAAATCAATCTCAAATGCTGTACTGCTGAGGTTCACCATTATTCAATATAACCTTTAATAACATTACTTATATCAAGTTAACATTATGATGAGGGATGAAATAAAAAAACATCTTCAGGAAGGACTGGTTTACACAATAGAATTCTGTCCAGGATCTGAACCACTTTTCTCATACCCATCCCCCATCCTTTCCACCTCTACAAGAAACAAAACTGTAACTCGATGAGGACAATCCCTTCACAATGTATACGTACATCAAATCATCACACTGTACACTTTAAATATCATAGAATTTTGTCAATTATATCTCAATAAAGTTGGGGAAGAAGAAACAAACAGGTGTGTTTGTCAAAGCAATGGAAGGCACGAAACAGTCTGCAGGTTAAAAACTAAGATCCAGGTGTTGGCATTTAACTCGAATTGTGGAAGTTCTGGGAAGCTGAACGGTTTTCTTTTTTTAAAAATGAAACAAGCGGGGCTAGCCCGGTGGCACAAGCGGTTAAGTGCCCGTGCTCCGCTGTGGCGGCCTGGGGTTTGCCGGTTCGGATCCCGGGTGCGCAACACACTGCTTGGCAAGCCATGCTGTGGCGGTGTCCCATATAAAGTGGAGGAAGACAGGCACAAATGTTAGCCCGGGGCCAGTCTTCCTCAGCAAAAAAAGAGGAGGATTGGCAGATGTTAGCACAGGGCTGATCTCCTCACAAAAAAAAAAAAAAATCAAACAAGAGGCCGGCCCAGTGGTGCAGTGGATAAGTTCGCAGGCCCTGCTTCAGCGGCCCAGGGTTCGCGGGTTCAGATCCTGGGCACAGACCTACGCACGGCTATCAAGCCATGCTGTGGCAGGCGTTCCACATATAAAAGAGAGGAAGATGGGCACGGATGTTAGCCCAGAGCCAATCTTCCTCAGCAAAAAGAGTAAGATTGGCAATGGATGTTAGCTCAAGGCTAATCTTCCTCACCGAAAGAAAGAAACAAACAATCAAAAACAATGTTTAATGCATATACTGTTCCCATGGAAATTTACATGACAAGAAAACTGACATTTCAAAATCAGTTTATATTAAGTCTATGCATGTATCCTTATTTAACTAAAAGCTCTTAAAAATTTCTAAGCTCAAAAAATGTTGCAAAATAATGTTAGAAATATGGAGACGGCCGGCCCTGTGGCTTGGTGGTTAAGTGCGCGTGCTGCGATGCTGGTGGCCCGGGTTCGGATCCCGGGTGCGCATCGAGGCACCACTTCTCCGTTCATCCTGAGGCCGAGTCCCACATACAGCAACTGGAAGGACGTGCAGCTACGACAGACAACTATCCACTGGGGCTTTGGGGGGAAAAATAAAATAAATAAAATCTTTAAAAAAAAAAAAAGAAATATGGAGACAGACCAGATAAGTCTACACCATAACATGTAAAAATAAAAGACGTGGATTATGCTGTCATTTTTAATTTTAATAAAATAGATAATTTCATATTACATAGAGAGCAAGTCCATTCACTCATCATTGATAAAATTTTAGAAATATTTTCTATAAAAAGTTTAGTATTTGATTGGGCATGAATCCATTAGAACATGATTTCTACAGGTACAGTGTCCCCATCCTCACCCCCATTCTTATTAATTTTGAGAAAATTTAAAAATACAGAAAAGTACAAAAAATAAGATATCCATATACTATAATCCAGAATTCTCCAACATTTTGATATATTTACTTGCAGTCTTTTGTTTTTAAGAGAAATGAATGTTTATATATAAAATTGAAGTCCCCTTTAACCAATCCCTACCCCATCCCTCCCACACTCATCCCCTTCCCTTCTCCACTCTTCACAGGCAACCACTATCAAGAGTTGGGTCTGTATCCTTCCAATCCATTTCAAAAACATTTAAAAAACATACATACATATTATGCATCCATTACCAATATATAGTACTGAATTTTGTGAAGAAGTTTTAATTCAAATTTACAAAAATGTCATCGTATTAGGTGTCATTCTGCAACATTTTTCCTCCTGAACTAGATTTTTGAGATCTTTCTCTGCAATACATGTAGATCTCTTGTTACATTTTACAGATATACAGTATTCCATCATAAGTATTTTCCATTTTGTTCCTGATGGGCATTTAAGTTGTTTCCAATTTATGGCTACTACAAATCATGCCACAGTATATACAGCCTGGTACATATTTCCTGAGCATACAAACTCAGAGTAGAACTGCTAGGTATTTTTGAATTTGTTATAAGGAATGTTTCCCTACTCCCAAGGTCATAACAATTTTAGTAAACATAGCTTTTTCACACTCCTGCTTTTAATCCCCTTAGATCTTACCTTTGTGTATAGTTCATGGTCTATTTCTTTTTCCTTGGAGAACAAATTACCTCCAAATCATTTTTTAAATAGTCCCCTTATCTTCTCACCTCCTGATGCCATTTCTATCATATTCTAAATTTTAATAAATGCATAGGTGTTTCCAGAATTTCTTCTATCCTGCTAAATCAATATTATAAAAGTCTCTTCCTTTCTAATACTTACAACTTATTTTTCTTATTACATTGGTGAAGATCTCCAGATCTATGCAGATAGCAACGATAACAAGCATATTTTTCATTCCCAATTTTAGTGGAAATGCGTCTAAAGTTTCAGCATTACCATTGCTATAAGTTTTTTGTTGTTGGGCACAGAATTTTTATCATACAAATGTCCTTCTCTTCAGCATGGTGTCCCGTAAGTTTTTAGCTTTCGTTTCCCTCACTGTGATGTGTTCCTTCACAATGATTATCTCTGATGTGCTATGAGGTGTAAATTCCTGATGAATGCTTTCCAATTTTCAAGGTATTCACAGGGTTTTTAATGAGTATGAATTTTCTGATGTCTAATGTGGTGTGACTTCTGGCTGAAAGCCTTCCCACATTCACTACATTGATAAGGCTTCTTACCTGTGTGTATTCTCAAATGCAGAGCAAGGGTTGAGAACTGAGAGAAAGCTTTCCCACATTCATTACAACCATAGGGCTTCTCCCCTGTATGGCTTCTCACATGCACAGTAAGAGAGGAACTTTGAGAGAAGGCTTTTCCACATACATTGCATTCATAAGGTTTATCACCTGAATGAATTCTCACATGTACAATAAGTGATGTTCGTTGAGAGAAGGCTTTTCCACATTCATTACATTCATAGGGTTTCTCTCCAGTGTGAATGTTTTGATGTTTTATGAGGTACTTCTTCTGGCCAAAAGCTGTTCCACATTCACTACATTTAAATGGTTTCTCTCCAATATGAATTTTCTCATGCTCAGTAAGATTTGATTTGCCACTGAAGGTTTTCCCACACTCCTTACATACAAAGGGCTTCTCTCCTGTGTGGGTTCTCTGGTGTCTGATGAGGTTTGACTTCTGAATGAAAGCTTTCCCACAATCCTTACACTCAAAAGGTTTCTCTCCAGTGTGAATTTTCTGATGGGTGAGGAGGTTTTCCTTCTGGCTGAAGGATTTTCCACATTCATTACATTCAAAGAGCTTCTCTCCAGTATGAGTGTTCTGATGTTTAATGACATACTGCTTTTGGCTGAAGGCTTTTCCACATTCATTACATTCAAATGGTTTCTCTCTATTATGAAAATGCTCATGCTCTGTGAGATTTGATTTGTGGCTGAAGACCTTCCCACATACCTTACAGGCAAAGGGGTTTTCCCCACTGCAAATTCTCTGCTGACTGAGGTGTGACATCTGAATGGAAGCTTTCCCACATTCACAAGGTTTCTCTCCAGTATGAATTTTTTGATGAACGAGGATTTATTTTAGCCTGAAGGTGTTTCCACATTTCTTACATTTGTAGGACTTCTCTGTGTAGGATGTTTTCAAATGTAGAGTAAGAAATAAGGTTTGAGAGAAAACTTTATCATACACAGTACATTCCAAACTTTCTCTCCAAGTATAAATTTTCTAATACTCAATGCAGTTTTGTTACTTTCACTGGTTTCTCTCCCGTATGAATTTTCTTCTGCTCAATGAGATTTGTCATCTACTAAAGGCTTTTCAATAGTCCTCAGAAGCACAGGGTTTCTTTCCAGCCAGACTTCCACATTTAATGAAGCATGACATGTGAGTAAAAGTTTTCCCACATTCAGTATATTCATAGGGTTTCTCTCCCGTATGAATGCTCTGGTAGCAGAGAGGGTTCAAATTTTTTTAACTGAAGGCATTTCCACACTGCTTTACACTTAAAGGGGGTTATTACCATAAGGAGTAAGCTGTGGCAGGATTTCCAAACTAATTAAGTTGATGATTCTTTCCTACACAACTTTCCTCGTGATTAAATCTAAATTGTGTTTCAAACTCTTTCTAGGTAAGTTGAAAAAGGTGTTGCCTTAAAAGATATAAGGTCTGAGATCAGAGGAAGTATCTTTCCAATTTCTTATATTCACTGCTTTTTTCCTCAGTCTGTACTTTACTGGAGATGGATTCAACTTGCCTCCCAAGTCTTCTTGCCTCTCTTATCTGCTCATCATCTTCTCAGGCTTCTTCTAAAATGGAGTACAAAGAATCATCATTTAAAGGAGTTAATGTATGAAGTGCTTAGAAGTGTGCTGGCACATGGTAAGCATTCAATAAATGTTAGCTTTATGTTATCACCATTATTTATGAATTTTCCCATTACTAGTAATAAAATTTCAGATTGTGCTTTTAGGGATTAACTCTGGTAGCACATCTCACAGTATGAAAGAATCCTCATGACCAACATCTCCAACTAAATTTTGAGAAGGAAACCCTTGTGGAAGATATCCAGATAGAAAATTAACATTCATGGGTACACAAAGCTTAGATTACTCTCCAAAAATTACCTTTCCCATTTCATAATTCAGCAAATTAAATGTAACAAACAATGAAGAATTAACAAACAGGATAAAAAGATGACTACATAAAATTGAGAAAGTCTATCTGGGATACCTAAGAAAAAGAAAGGAATAACCAACAACTGCTTCCTCCCAAAATCCCATTAAAATGACAAGAAAAGAGAAAATAGGGGATTGGCCCCATGGTGTAGGGGTTAAGTGTGCGCACTCTGCTGCTGGCGGCCCAGGTTTGGATCCCGGGCGCGCACCAACGCACCACTCATCAGGCCATGCTGTGGCAGCGTCCCACAAAAACTGGAGGAAGATCGGCACGAATGTTAGCTCAGGGCCAGTCTTCGTCAGCAAAAAAAAAAAAAAAAAAGAGGATTGGCATGGATGTTAGCTCAGGGCCGATCTTCCTCAAAAAAAAAACAATTAAAATAAATAAATAAATAAAAAGAATAAAAGAGAAAATAGTACAAACACAAGAAAAAAGGATATGATAGGAAACATCAATACACACAAGATGTTAATAAATTTTTTGATAACATAAAGCACATGGAGGATTCTCAACACACAGCAGAGCTGAGGAAGTTCAAATAACATAAAAGTACTGCAGAAGAGGAGGCCAATGCCCAGCAAGCCGATTTACGCCATGAAATATCAGAAAGATTCAGGAAATGGAGGGAATCAAGTACCTCAAAAGAAGGAATAAAGGATGGTGGCTAAAACAAAGATCCTGTAAGGTGCAGTTGGACTTCTACCCTCCCAGTCAGGAGGACAAAAGACTACTCCTTTGTATGAAATAGAAATTATTCTTTGCAGACATTTAATCAGAGATGCTCCAGACTCAAGGACACCCAACATATGAGGTAACAGGGAGAAGTGCTATTCTGAAATGAATGGGATTAAAACTATACATAATATGGTGAGACCTCCAGCACCATTCTGCAGCAGAGGCTAAAAAATGTCAGAAACCAGGTATATACAGCTGTAAGCAGGATATGAAAGGATCCTTCTCTGGAGAAACTGAAAGGCCCATGAAAAATCTTGGCAGGATGCCCCTCCAAGAATGATACTTGTCACTTGTACCCATTTTGTTTTGCCAAAACAAAGGACCTGGCCCCACCTGAGTTTGTGAGAGTAAGGCAGTATAATCCTTCTGTAGGGAGACCTTGGGTCCATGAGGCATTATACTTTTGCTCCATTAAAGCCTACTAGATGACTAGAAGTACCCAGGCACAAAAGAGCTTGCAATCACCCTTTAGTGAATCATTCTTTTTTTTTTTTTTTTTTTGCTGGGGAAGCTTCACCCTGAGCTAACGTCTGTGCCCATCTTCCTCTATTTTGGATGTGGGTCACCGCCACAGCATGGCCGCCAATGAGTGGTGTAGGTGTGCACCTGGGAACCAAAACTGGGCCACCAAAGTGGAGTGCGCCAAACTTAACCACTAGGCCACGGGGCCAGCTCCTTGTGAATCATTCTTAAATATGACTGTGCAGCCAATATTCCATACACATTTGAGGAACCCCACTAACATGAAAGACAGAGCAACATCAAGAGAAAAAAGTCTGAGGAAATAAAGGTAAGGCACAGCAAACAACAACAAAACCCTAAAACCAATCATAGGCAGTTATGAGAAGATATTTTATCAGTGAAACAATGACAGGATTTTGTAAGTAAGAAACACAAAGAAAAACCTCCCTTAGAAATGAGAACTGAGGGAGGGAGAGGGAAGGGGAGGTAGACTATATTATCATTCACCAATAAGAGGGTCACCTTACTGCAGAAGGATTATATTACTCAACCCAAGCAAACTCAGGCATGGCCAAATACCTTGTTTGGCCAATGAAATATGAGCACAAGTGGCAAGTATCATTTCCTGATAGAAGCTTTAAGAAGACAAATTTAGAGGATATACAAAGTAATAGTAATAGCTGAGTAAAAGAAGAGAAAAGGAAAGGAGAAAACTGATTAGAGGAAATATTCAAAGAACAACAAAAACAACTTCCTGTCCTCTAAAGTCACAAATCTCTAGACTTAAAGGGCCCACTTAGTGCCCTTCACAATGAATAATACAAGATGCATAACTAGACACATCACTGTGACACTTCAAAAGAAAAAATAAAGAGGCCATAAATGTTTTCAGAAAAAAAAGAACATATACCATTCAAAGGAACAGGAATCAGAATGGAATCAAATTTCTCAACAGAAACATGGGAAGCTAGAAGACAAAATTCTGAGGGAACAATTCTAAGCTTAGCCCATCAATCTAATGGGACAAAGGCATTTTCCAGATACACAAATGCTCAAAAATTTTACCTCAAATGCACCCTTCCTCTCAGGATGCTACCTGCTACTAGAAGATGTGCTCCACCAAAATTAGAAGACAGAAGGCAACAGATACAGGATCAAAAAAAGAGGGATGTGACATAGGGAAAATAAAGAAAATTTCTTTGATAACAGTGATGAAAAACTACAAGATAAGAGATGACTATTAAGTCAGAGTACAGCCAGTAGAGACTGGAGCAGGAGGACAAAAATTCTAGGAGTAATATCCCCATGGAGAAAAACGGGAAGAGATTTCCCAATGCATTTGACCATGTGGAAACTAGTATTGAGGGCTTTTAACTATTCTGAGGGTAGTCCAAGGGAGTCTGTGCTAAATACAGAAAACCAAGCAAACAAACAACAAAAAGTGTGGCAAATATCAACTCCATGAAAAGCAAAAAAAAAAGGAAAAAGAAAAAAAAAATTTATACAAATACACATATACTTCTGTTGTACACCAAAGGATGATAGCTGTCTCAAGGAAAAGCACTTGGGCAAATCATTTAAGTTATGAGCTAAACCAGCTACTTTTTTCATGGAGCACCATTAATTTACTTTAAATAAATTTAATAAATGATTGCCTTACAAACTACGGTTATTTAGACGGGTATTATTTGGCAGATACTGTGACAGAACGAAGTGAGAAAATTATTTTAAGGAAAACAACGGATAGCACGTGTCGCCAATGATAAAATTTGAGTTTTCAAACAAAAATTAGAATTTTGGAAAACCTGTATCCTCCCTCCACCATGAGATTGATAGCTTCACAATACTTAAAAGACTTTTCTAGGGGCCAGCCCGGTGGCACAGTGGTTAAGTTCACGCACTCTGCCTTTGGTGGCGTGGGGTTCACGGGTTCAGATCCCAGCTGCAGACCTACATGCAGCTCATGAAGCCATGCTATGGTGGCACCCCATATACAAAATAGAGGAAGACAGGCACAGATGTTAGCTCAGGGCCAATCTTCCTCACCACAAAACAAAACAAAACAAAGACTTTCTAATGAGATTGGTTAATAAATATGATGTTTTGATATTGTATACTGACATGTGTCAACATTTGAAAGATCTGCATAACTCAATTGACCAATGCATGATGTTACAAAATCAAGCATGGGTAAAGTGATCCATTTAAAGTTTAAGACAGACCACTGGATTTTATGTAAGAGAACCAAAAAATGTATTGATATAGCTTCAAATTCCACATTGCAGCTAATCTTGAAAAATTACCATTTGTCAGGTGGTGGCGTAGCACTAAAGAAGAATATCCACAATTATCTGAAAAGGCTGTTGAAATACTTCTCCCTTTTCTAATGACATCTGCGTGAAGCCATAATTTTTTCATATACTTCAACCAAAACATGTCACAACAGCAGAAATGAGAATCCAGCTGTCTTCTATTAAGCCAGACAGTATTTACAAATATGCAAACAATGTCACTCTTCTTCTCATTAAACTTTTTTATTTTGGAAAACTGTTATTTTTATTAAGAAATGGAATTTAAGTTTACATGTAATGGGACTGTGTTACTTTTAAATAAATAAATGTTTTTAAAAGTTTCTCAATTTTACTTTTAAATAAGATAAATATCACTAAAGTCTCCATAAACCAAAGCTCTTTGGGGGTCCTCAAGTTTTAAGAATGTAAAGGTGACTGCTAATGGGTACCGGGTTTCCTTTTGTGGTGAAGAAGATGTTCAGGAATTAGATAGTGGTGATGGTTGCACAATTTGTGAAAATACTAAAATCCACTGAATTGTACACCCTAAAAGAGTACATTTTATGTTATGTGAATTATATCTCAATAAAGCTGTTACCAAAAAAAAAAAAAAAAAGAAACAGAAAAGTTCCTGAGACCCAAAAGTTTGAGAACTGCTATTCAAAACAAATTCACAGGCCCGGAGGAAAAGCCTGCCAAGCGTGTTCAAATATGCAACCAACTGGTCACAACTATGCACATTATGTTCTTCCTGTCCTTCTCGGGCTGAGCCTGATCCCTCCTGTTTTCAACCTTTTTAGAATCTACAGAACCTCCCAGAAACAGCTCCAGTAACACACTTCTATAAAGACTTCTCCAATCCTGTCTCTTATTTATAAACACCTTTCTCTAGACTTCTAATCATAATCAAATTCACTTTTCCTAAAACAAAAGTGTTTCATATGAAATATTTTGAAACCCAAATTCGTATGTAGCTAAGTCTGAACATCCTAACTATAACCTGACATGCTGGATTTCATCAAATGGCTCCACTCTTTTCTTTGAATGGCTAACAGCAGATATTCTTAAAACACTGGGGGCAATATCAAGGGGGAAAAAATGGAGGGAAGACAGTTTAGATTTTAAAGACTAAGCAGAGAGCAACCAAATCCAAAGTTTAAACCTTGACTGGATTCTCACATTTAAAAAAAGCTATAAAAGGTATTTTCGAGATAACTGGGGAAATCTGAATATGGACTGAATGTTACACAATATTAGGGCATTATGGCTAGTCGTCTAAGGTATGGTAATGGTATTTTGGTTATACAGGGTAATGCCACTATTTTTAGAAAATGCTCACTTAATTTTTCAGGAGAGAAGTCTCATGATGTTTTAGCACACACAATACACATGCACAGGGATATAGACACAGATAAAACAAACGAGGCAAAATATTCATGACGGAATCTACGTGGTGGGTATATAGGAGATCACTGTTCTCTTCTTTCAATGTTTTTTTTTTGTTTGAAATGTTCATAAGATAAAAAATTGAGAAAGAAGAATTGATAAATAACAATCCTTCCACAACAGTAATTCATAGATACTTAACAAGTGTCTCATATATAATCAAAACTGCAGATAGAATGAAACATGAGCCTTCCTTTCAACAAGTTTATAATACAGATTTCAGAAATCAAAATATAAAAACACATAGTATTTACCGAGAACTTCTGAATTTCTGTGGAAAATGTGAAGTATGATGCACAATCAGAAGGAAGATCAATAAAAGAGGAAGTAACAGGTTTAAATGATAAGTAGGACCTGAATACCAAGAGCATTTCATAATCAAAAGCCAAGATTCAAATTCAAAGACTTTTATAGAAAGAAGGAAATATGTTCACATTTATATTCATATGGTTACTATGTCCTCTCTTGATCAGATTGAAGAATATCTTTTTAAATGCTTGCCTGACCATATCACAAGGACCATGAGAAAAGAAATAATCCCGACATAATATGAAACTGGTTTGAAGTGATCTCTGAACCTGAAAATAATGAGCTGAAATCTCTAATTTGGGTAGCATATTAATGATTTCATTGACACAATGAGAATGAAATCAGACAGCTGTTTATTCTGTAAACACATAAAATTACAGCAGGCAAGACAGAAAGGCTGGAGGTGCCAAAATAAAAATTGCTTTTAGGGCCGGCCCCGTGGCTTAGCAGTTCAGTGTGCACACTCCGCTACCGGCGGCCTGGGTTCGGATCCCGGGCGCGCACTGACACACCGCTTGTCCGGCCATGCTGAGGCCGCGTCCCACATACAGCAACTAGAAGGATGTGCAGCTATGACATACAACTATCTACTGGGGCTTTGGGGGA